CGTACACTTGCTATGAAGTCCAGAATGAAGTAGAACAGGGGTAGGCAACCTTTTCTTGCTGCATGCCAGAATGACCCCACTCTGGGTTAGAGGCAGTCACTAGGACAAAGCCACTCTCAGCACTTGGCTCTATAGCAGTATGGGGAGAGTGCCTGCAGCTGAATGCCACTAAAGACCAGCTTCCACGAGCTAGATCCAATGGTTCTGTGGGCTGTATCCAAGCAACCCTTGCAGATAGACCTGTAGAAAGTCTGAGTAAAGATAAAATGGAAAGGGTTGTGGTGGATGATGCTTTTAAAAAATAATTAATCAGCTAACAGAATTATCCAAAAGGCAGAATATGGTGATAATACTGACTTGGACTGTCAGATACTTGCCTGGAAAGTAGTCTAACAAAACCAAGTTTGTCCAAGAAGCTTGTGGAATGCTTGCAGAATGGACAATGAGCCTGGTAAGAGGACTCAGAACTCGTGGTAGAGGTGATATCAACTAGACTGGCGTCTCTTGTACATTTGATTCTGAGCAATAGGGAGGAACTAGTAAAGAATGTCAAGGTGGAGAGCATTTGGGTGACAATAATCATGAAGTGATAGACTTCATGATTCTAATGGAAGGAGGGAAAATAGTAGAATAAAGACAATTAATTCAATAAACTCAAAAAACTGGTAGGTGAGATCCGGTGGGAAGTAAATGTAAGGGGAAAAGATGCTCAGGAGAGACAACATTAATCTTATAAGTGCAAAATATAACACTGTGAAAAGAAGATACAATGTGCTGTGACAGACCAACTTGGCTAAATCATGAACTACTCACTGACCCAAAATTTAAAAACAATCGTACAAAACGTGGAACCTAAAGGAAATTCTAATGATGGGTATAAAAGAATAGCACAAGCCTGTGGGACCAAAATCAGAAAGGCCAAAGCATGACTAGTAAGGACATAAAGGGTATCAAGAAAACAAATGTATTGGTAGTAAGAGGAAGACCAAGGAAATAGTTCATTCGCTGCTCAAGAAGAAAGGAAAATTAATGAGAGATAACACTAAGACCAGAGCAATCATGGCTTGTGGTAGAGGTGATATCTTTTATTAGATGAACAAGATTTTTGCAAAAAAAAAAAAAAAAAAAAAAAAAAATTTTTTAAAAAAAAAAAAAAAAAAAAGAAAAAAAGTCTTTAATTGCAAGCTTTTGGGCACAAAGCACCCTTCATCAAGCATCAGAGAAAAGATTGTAAAAGTTCTCTGGGTAGAAATGAAAGTTCATATTTCTTAGGATTTCACAAAGGAGTCAATAGATGGAAAACTTCTATGGGCAGGCAGTCCTTACCTGGTAAAGAGTCTGTTAGCTCTCCTGTGAGGCTCTGTGATGATGCAAATTACCTTAGACAAAGGCAGGAGCAGTATCACAGGTTTCAGGTGGTCAAAGTTGCTTCCTGCTCGGGAAATTATGAAGATTTTTTTTTTTAAATCAGCTAAAATTCGATATCTTCCATATGTTAAGGATCCGGGTTGTAGCCGTATTGGACCATGTATTGGACCGTACGGCTGCTACCTAGATACCTGATACTAAGAAGGCCAAAGCACTTAATACTGTTTTTTGCTTCAGTCTCCATAAAAAGGTTGCGACAAAGAGGCAAGAAAGACAAAAAAGAATGGATTAGAGGTGAAAGTGAGTTAGAGACAATTTAGACAAGTTGATGTTTTTCAAATGAGCTGAGGCCCATGAAATTCACCCTAGAGTACTTCAGAAACTGGCTGAAGCAATCTCAGATCTTTTAGTGGTTATCACTGAGAAACTGGGAAGGACAGGTAAGGTTGCAGAAGACTAGAAAAGGTCAAGAACAGTGCCTGTTGTTGAAAAAAGGGAGAGGGGGCAGGGATATCCAAATACTATACATCAGTTAGGCTGTCTTCAACTTCCAGAAAGATATTGGGACCAATAATTACAGAACCACAGAACCATAGAGAAGTAGGGCTGTAGATGTCCTACTTTCATAAGTTCCAGTAGGACATCTAGTCCAACCCCCTACCTGATGCAAGATCATCCCTATTCAAACCATCCTACACAAGTTCACTGTCTAAATTCTTAGCAAAACCACACAGCCACTCATGACACAACACAAAACATAACACCCTAACACGCCACAGGTAAAGCAAGGGGACCATGGCAGTAAACATCCTGCTGCTGTAAAGGTTGCAAAGAATTCCAGGAAGAGGGCCATGCCCCCAGCTACAGAAGAAGGGAAAAACCTCCACAGTCCATACCAATCTGATCATGAGGTAAAATTCCTTCCTGACCCAAATATGGCAGCCAGTCTGGCCCTGAGCAGAGGTGCTAGACCCTCTAGACAGGGATCTCCAGATTTAAGTCCCAAGAGGAGCACTGACACACCCTAGTCAAAATCCCCAGCCTTGGCTATAGCCAATACCCAGTTCCTCTGAGGAAGGCATAAAGAAACCTTGACACATGTAGCAGCTGGAGGGGGAGACTAGGAATTTTCTCCCGGCCTCATGCAGCAACCAGCAAAGCCCAGAATCATGGGAAATACCCAGAGTAGAACACAACCGTGACTACTGTAAGATCATCCCTCACCAGTAATTGTTCAACCTCTTCTTGAACACTCCCAGTGATGGAAAGTCCAATCAGTTTGTAAACACCTACAAGGTAAAAAGGTAGTAAGAAAGAGTCCCTGGGATTTCTCAAGAACAAAAATTTCAAACTAACCCAACTTCTTTGTATTACAAGACAACAGGCTTTGCTGATAGGGGAAAAATGTGATGGGGAGGAGATGTGATACATCTCGACTTTAATGAGACTTTTGACATTGTCTCAATTGACATTCTCATAAATAAGCTGGGGAAATACAGTTTAGATGAGTGTCATCCGATTTCTAGGCCCCCCAAGGGCCACACCAGGGGGGGATGTATATTGGGTGGGCCACACCAGACTGGTCATAGGCCACCACTCCACCCTCACTGCTGTACTTCATGTCCCTCGCACACCACCTCACTGTGCAGGTGCGAGTCCCCCTTTACCCCCACTGCAACATGCTCCCTTATGAGCCCTCCCCCACAATACTCCGTGGGGCCACCATCTCCCATACTATACATAGCCCCAATCATCCCCATCAGCTCCCTGTTCTGTGCTTTACTGCCCCACCACTTGGGGCAATAGCAGGAAGCAGCAGATGAAGGAGGAAGGGAGAGCCCAAGAGACTTGGGATGCTATTGCAGCTAAAGCAATGATCAGGAGCTGGGTGAAATCCCAAGGGCCACAACTGAATCCCTTGCAGCCTGTGGGCTGCCAGTTGGACAGTCCTGGTCTAGATGATCCTACTGTAAGGTGAGCACGACTGGTTGAGATATTATATTCAGAGTAGTTGTCAAAGGCTGGTTCTAAAACCGTAAGATAGTACCAAGTGGGATTCCTTAGGGGTCTGTACTGGGTCTGGTACTATTCAATATTTTCATCAATGACTTGGATGATAGAATAAACAATACACTTCTTAAAAATGCAGACAATACCAAGGAATTGCAAGCTCTCTGAAGCAGAGGATTACAATTCAAACCAACTTTTAGAAACTGAAGAGATTTTCTAAAATAGGATGCAATTCCATAAGAACAAATGCAAAGTATTATACTTGGGTTGGAATAATTTAGTGAACAAATGCAAGTGAAAAATAGAACCTGTACTAGGAGTACACTGCTAAATGATCCTACTGTAAGGTGAGCACATGACTGGTTGAGATATTATATTTCCCAGGCCCCCTTCTCCCCTGATGGGGAGCAAGTGTATCTTCCAGCCAGTGTGGAGCTGTGCCAGGGCAGACAGTTGAAAACCATGTCCATGCTGCTGTAACGTCTTCCCACTTTCCCTGCATCCTTGCCTCCTGGCTTCCAGCTGGCTGGCACAGCTGGAAGCTGCAGAGCTGGAATCTGGGCCCATGCCAGAGCTAGAGGATAGGGAGAAGTAGCAACAGCATGGGCTAAAAGCTGCCTGGCTCCAAAGCGGATACAGGTGCAAAAACGCAAACAAAGCTCTCCAGCTTTGTGGGCCAGATCTAGTGGCTCTGCAGAGATCCAGCTTGTGGGCCATATGTTACCAACCCCTGTTATACACACATAATAAACAGGAGCATCATATGGAAGGCATCTTAATAGAAACTTTTATTCTACTCCTTACTGACTCACAGCAGGAATTCAGCTTGGGTCACCACACTTTAAGAGGGGTGTGAACCTATTGGAGAGAATCGAGAGGAAAGCAACAAAATGATTGATGGTCAAGAAAAAAAAACCTATGAGGAAAGAATCAAATAATTAGTTATTTTTTTAAGTCTTCAAAAAAGACTAAAGGGGGATATGATAATTCTCTTGAAATATGTAAAAGGTTACTACAGAAACAAAGGTAGTATATATATGTATTGCTCAAGACTCACTAGAGATAGTATAGGAAGCAATAGATTTAAATTAAAGTTAGGGAGATTTAGCTTAGATACTGGGAAAAGCTTTCTAACTAAGATAATTAAGCATCATGACCGATCACTTAGGGAAGTTGTGGGATATCCCTCACTGAAGGTTTTTAAGAATAGGTTGGAATCATGTGTCAGGAATGGTTTAAGCAGAGTTCACTGTACCTTGGGGTAGGGGGTTGTAAAAGGTGACCTCTCAAGTTCCATCTGATTTTTTTTATAGCCTACAGCAGTCATAGGTATAGCAGTCAAAATGTTGTTTATCCATAAATAGCATTTATAAAATTGGCACTTCCAGTTATAATACTACCCATTCCAATTTGTTGCTTCAGATGTTTTGTTTTGTTTTGTTTTTTTGTATAGTAAGCAAGGAACTATTCCAGTTGAAGCTTCAAGGTGAATTTTACAGAAGTAGTATTACCTAAGCTGGAAAATGTCCAGGCCATTAGAGCTATCACCCTGCTTTTACAAAATAAGGATCACAAAAATGTAAAGAGGATGATTACAACAGCTATGGTAGTGCACTACTCACCAGCAGCACAATGTGGATTTAGGCTGTGATCATGTTCTTGCTGAAGCCAATTGCAAAACCCTTTGACTTTACAAGTGGGGTGGATAAAACCTTTAGTTCAGGAATGTCTCAGATGGAAGTGCTCCTCTAAATGAGTCATCAGCACTCTATTACCTTGAAGGTTACCAAGCCCTTTAGCTGATGAGACCTCAGCCCAAGGTGATGTTGTGTGATTTTTGTAACAGGCCTGGAAAAAAAAAAGAAAGAAAGAAAGTTAAGGACTAATTGCAACTACTACTTCTGAACTGACCTACAGCCACATGGATTAAAACAGAATTTTGAACGCCAATTATACTACATCATTTTCCCAATTATTTTGTAAATTAGATTATGTACCAAGAGTGGGGTGTTTGAAGCAGTGAATAATGAGCAAATAATGTAGAAAAAGTTGTTTGTTACATTGGTGACTAAATAAAAAAAAATAAGGTTGTAGGCTTGCAACCTTGTTAGGTTATAATCATATCTAAATAAACAGCAGAAACCAAGGAGATTCTGTGACTAGCAGCAACAAACACATAATTTAAGTACTTTCAAAGGCTATTCTAGCACCAGAAAAATGTTTCAGAATATTTCTATTGATATTTCCTTTAGTCAGCTATGTATATGAAAGTAGCTGGGAGCAATCTATTTGAGTAATTGGACAGCATGTATTAAAAAGCATTTAGCATACCCCAGACCCAACCATTTCTCCAGCGTTCCAGAATCTGCCCTGGCTTCCAATACCATTCTGGAAATAATTCAAGGTACTCATTTTGACCTACAGGCCCCTGAATGGTATGAGACCTACCACATTTAAGGAACTGCTTTCTCCCTTATACCCCATTGCAATTCCTAAGATCAGCTTGGAGTGACTGCCTCTAAGTACCATCAACATGCCAAGTTTGCTTGGGGCACACATGGGAGATGGTTCTTAATAGCTGCTTCTTAACTCTGGAATGCTCTCACCCTCAAGGCCTCCCAGAGCCCAAGCCTGAACAACTTCCAGAGGCACTGTAAGACTTTCGTATTTGGGCAGGCATAGCAATCAGGGCTAAATGGGTGTAATATTCTACTTGCTTTTATATGTTGTTTGCTTACTGTAAGCCACCCTGCACCTTAGTTGGGAAAGGCATCATATACTATCAATGTAATAAATAAGCAAATGGAAAAAGAAGTCTGGCTTCAGGGGCCTGGGCAATGATGACTTTGCAGATTTGTAGTTAGCTGACTTCCCAAAATTGTGCCCCATTGTCCCTCTCCCATTCAACTTATTTCTTGCCTACATAAAAAAAGGCAATCTGAAATTGGTTTATAGTGAGGTTTGTTTTCCACTTCACTTCCTTGCGAAAAATGTCCTTATTCTGGTTTGCCAAACTAGTGATGCCCTTTAGCTTTTAGTTCACAAGGCTTTGATTTTCACTTTCTCTTTAGGTATCAATTGGAATTCAAGGGCTAAAGGAATTTCTATTGTCCTCCATTACCGTTAGAGAGACATGACCTATCCATAAAATTACAGAACCGTAGAAAACCACAGACTTTAAATAGTTCCATACCAATCTTTTTGAATTCTGAGCCCCTTTTGTGAACCAAACAAAAATTCTCATACCTAAGTGCTTTAGGAGCCAAAATCCCATTTTCAAAACTTATCTTGCCACTTACAAAAGTAAATCTGAGTGAAAGTCAGGGAAAATTAGATTTCTAAATACTAAAGGGACTTTTGAAAGTTTTACCTCGGATATCCAATACAGTCTGCAGATATTTCATTGTTTCAGACAGCTTACAAACTCCAGTTGTTGGAAGTAATTTAACAATCTAGTAAAAAATATAAAACGTGCTTGCAGTCAAAACAGACACTTGTAAGGTTTAGTTCCAGAAGTACTACAGTTAGATAAGAGTAGCTTAGTTGAGTCTAAGGTCCTTCCAAACCTAACAACCCATTGAGCTAGTAAGGGTAAGGCGCACAAAGGAATAACATCAGGACCAGGTGACTTTTGACTCCACCTGAAAAAGCAGTTGGCATGAGTCTATAGCAGGGATTGAACTTGCCCCTCCAAAGCCATAGTGAGATATCTTAACCCCTCTTC